CATGCTCTGCATGGAGACGCTGAACATTCCCAATAGAGATGCATTGATTCAATGCATCTCTTTAAGGAAATACTGAATGGCGCAACGGACATTTTTCCACACATGTGCAATGGACTCCCAATGCTTTCCTTTGGAAAAGCATTGGCCTGGCTAAGATCATCAAGATTAATGAGCTCAGTCATGGAGGCGGGGCCAGCCACGACAATACCGGCACGGCCTGGGTAAATAGGTTTCCCATGCGATCGGAGGGGAACCAGTACCTAAACACACACACTCACAGACAGACACATACACACACATACTGGCAGATGCACTCTTACTAACTTGACACACACTCATTGACAGACACACACACACTCACTGACAGACACACAAACACTCACTGACAGACACACACTTATTGATTTTAAACACTGACAGACATACAGGCAGACACGCACTGGCAGACACACTTACTCTTGGCTTACACTCGCGCTGGCAGACACACATGCACTGACAGACACACTTACTCTTACTGACAGACACACACACACAGTCACTGACATTTAACTCTTATTTGCATAAAGGAAGTTAGCCTCCGTATGTCCATTTTAACTGTGACATTCTTAAGTGAGCAATAGGATTTCTAAATAGAAAGATGACTAACTAGGCTCAGGTTATGACTTGGATATTAACCTAAATCGACTAATCGATTAATTTGTACAGTATTGGTCAAAGAGATTGTATTTAGACAATATTATATTGTTAAAATTCAGATTATCCATTTTTACGTGCACCAGAATATGATTATACAAAAATATAATATTTAAATCCTCATGTAGTGTAATGAAATATGTGAAACCACCACTTTGTTGATGTCATTAAATTGGATTTTTCTTGTTCGGCTTGTCCTGGCTCATTAACCTCAAAGGAAACCACAGAATTAGGTGCTCTCCCTGTGTGGCCGCCGTTTGTATTGTCGAACGCCACGTGCAGGAGAAAACTGCAGCCATCTTGTTCACACGAAAGAAGGGAGCAGGACTTGGTCGTCGAGTGTCTAGAACTAAAATCGGACACTCGACTTCCCGAACGTTGGTCAAACTAAGATCTCCATGAAACTCCTAAACCACTGACCCGATCTGGGTGATTTATGAATATGTCGCTCACCTCTCAGGTCCAGTGGAGAATGCCCCAGGAATATGTCACTGGAAACCCTGTATGTTTGTAACCACATAAAAGCCAGGCGGTTAGCCTGAATAAAATCAGTCCTGTTGTACCCTTAATCTAGTCTAGGCTGATGTTTGGGTAGCTGTCTATTTGCCGTGGAGAAGCTGCTTGAATGCTGTATTTTGTCTGGAACGTTTGAATCAACACCCAAACAGCGAGCTATAACCACTCAGGCTCCAGCAGTTTGGGAGGAAACAGACAAACGGGTATCTGCAATACCAGCGTTCTTAAACTATATGGCTAAAATTCTGATTGTAACTTATGATGTATATTACAGGGTAGCTTGATGGGAACAAAAATAGTTATATCCATATATGGTAGAATCAGTGGCGTACATACCGCAGTCGCGTGGGTCGCAGCTGCGACCGGGCCCATCACTCCAGGTACCCCCGTGACCAGGTACCAGCTGCCACATTTAGCGGCCCCGGCCAGCGCGGTAAGCCGCCGGGGCCGCATGTTAAGAGGTCCATCGGGTGGCCCATGCTATCAGGGCCACCCGATGGATATGGATTATCAGAGGGCCCGGTCAGCGCTGGGCGCTTTAACAGCATGACCGGGCCCCCTGTGATTACATCACTCCTCCCAGCTATCAGAGCCCGCGTGGGAGGAAGCAGGAAGGAGGAGGGAGTCACTCCCATCAGGCTGAGCCCCCACTGGACCCCAGGGAAAGTCACAGAAGGTAGGAAACAGGAAACATTTTGTGTATGTGTCTGTGTCTCTGTATGTGTCTGTGTCTCTGTATGTGTGTGTCTGTGTCTCTGTATGTGTATCTGTGTGTCTCTGTATGTGTGTGTGTGTGTGTGTCTGTGTCTCTGTATGTGTGTATGTGTGTGTGGGGAGGGGGGCCACGGAGCGGTTTCACACCGCAGCCCCATATATTGTGTGTATGCCACTGGGTAGAATACAGCAATACCGTAAGTGAGGTATATGTCTATCAAATAGTTAAATCTATAATACCTTCACCTTGAATAGAGAATACTCAAAGTCATGTTTTGAGTTGTTTTTATAACTTTTTTTGTGAACACATAGGTATGTAACCAATATGAGTAATCTCTGTCAGGATTTTAGGAATTTACTGTTAATTGGACTAACCATGTGATCTGTTAATTGATTGATTTAAAGGGTATATATACCCAGTGTATGCTTGTACTCACTATGCACGATTAAGGCGATATAGCCAAAACAGACAGACAGTCACCAACAGACACACACACTGACAGATACTGACTGTCACTCGGAGACACACTTACTCTTACTGACAGATACACTCTTACTGACACACACTCTCCCTGACAGACAAAAACTCTCAATGACCGACACACATACATTTTCTCATTCTTGCAGACACACTAACAAATTAATTGTATTTTGTGTTTATTTGTTTTTTGAACCATCAGGCCTTCCTACCTTTAGGAGTCTTCTCCCTGGGGTAAAGTTGCTTCGATGTTCTTCTTGCTCCTCTCTCCTCCCTCACACTGTTTAGTGATGCAAGGCCGGATGACGTCACAATCTGGTGCTCGGCATCATCACAGAGGGCGCGTGAGGGAGCCGAGAGGAGCAGGAAGAACCTCACAGTTAGGAGAGCTCCCTCACCACCGTCTGCCGCCCACTCTCCAACGGCACGTTATATATAGGTAGAGTAGGCACCTGCCCTGTGGGTGCTTGTGCTGTTATATTACTGGGTTTTTGTACCTTTTTGCTGTATATGTGTTTTATCCTGTGCTCAGGGTCCTAGGCCAGCTAAAGGTCTTTTCCTTTCCCTTTAATTTGGAAGTCCCCCTCCACTGTTTTATTTCACCTTGCTTTGGTTCTTTTATTTTCCCTACTATAGAACCTTTGTTCTACCCTATTTCTCTGTCTTTTCCTATGTTGATATCTCTCTCTTGTTCTTTACCGTGTCCTGGAATCAGTTTTGGTGCCCTTTTGTCGGTATTTCGTGCCTCTTTGCGGCCCAATTCGTACCATTTCAAAACCCATGTTCAGCATATATGCCATTTCGAAACCCACGTTCAGCATATGCCAAACATATCATACGTATTCATTTTTTAGATGTTCGTTCACGGATTCGTACCCGACCGTTCGGCTGTTTTCAGTGCCACATTCACGGGTTTACCTTACTAGGTGCATTCGGTTCCCTTCTGTCCCTTTTTCTGGGTTGCTACTTGCACTGCTTTTTCCTGACAATATCCACATTAGCCTATTGCAGTTTTAGTTTCTTGTGGGTCTTAACTGTTTACCTGGAATGCCTAAGCCTAAGGTGCCTGTGTGCCCCCTAACCCCTACAGAGATGGATGCCCCTCTACTATTGGGAGATAGATCCTCTACTGCTGACTCCCCTCCCTCGGCAGGGTACCCTGCTCCCCGCAGGGAGGATGCACAGTTCTTGGCACTACAATGGTCTGTGACCGACGTTATTATGGCCATTATGGGTTCAATGTCTTCGGCTTTGTCCCATTGCATTGCTTGCTCGCCCCTCAGACACAGGGGCCTCGGATGTCTCGACGCGCACTCTGCAATCAGAGGTGGATTCCCTTGGGAATGCACCAAGAAGGGCAGGTCATAAATCTAGGCATGTATCTCCCTCTGCCTCCAGAAACACCATGACTGGTGTACCTTAGGTTGCCCCTGAAAGCATGTCCAATCCGCGCCGGGCGCGGTGGTGGAAATGTGTGAGAGCACAGACTGAGAGCAACTATGACTCAGAAATCGGGTCTAGCATGAAGGCTGGTATGGAGTCTGGTAGTGACTCAGAGAATGGTACCGGGGGCATGGATTGTGACCTCTTTACCTCTGCTCCGGTGGAGTTCACGGGAGGTGACCCTAGGGCTGATCCGCCCGTGGCTGCAGGGACTGCCCTCATGGACACACTTGTTTGGCCCGGATGATTTACATCATCCAAGGTCTGCCGAGTGGCTTCCGTGGCCTGCTACCTGGAAAACTGGGTGTGGTGTTCCTTTAGAAAGGCAGCACGTAGGGGCGGGTCTCTACCAGGGCCGGCAGATCCAGGGGGCGTCTGGCCAGGCACAGCTATTTTAACTCCCATGGCTTGGGAAGAAGCTTCTTCAACCAACAACCCAACTACCAGGAGGTTAGGACTCAATCCCCTTTCTTCCCATCTCGTGGACGATCATGGCGATCTAGGGGCTTCAGAGGGAATTCCGGTAAAGGACGCCCATACGTTAAGCTTAATTCTACCTCATACTTCTTCTCATGTTTGTGTAGGTGGCAGACTCCATAATTTTTCCCCGACCTGGGTGTCCATATCATGTCCGATGCATAGGTTCTCAAAACGGTGAGAGGTTTCCACATAGAGCTGGTTGTGGCACCTTGTTAGATCCCTACCCCTCAACTGATCTGTTTTTCCCTTCGGGATCGCAGGTTGATCGACGAGGAGTTGTCTCCAGCTGCAGTGTCGAAGGGGAGTAGAAGGTACAAGTCAGCGGTGTTCGCGCAATTGGGTAGCCGAAAATAGTTCCATAGATTTGCTGGCACACAAGGCTGATCGCGTTTGAATTAATCAAAATGGCTGCCGCCACATGTTCGATTTTCGAATGGCGGCCATTTCGACTACTTCGGCACTTTGGCTGCATCCGATGTGCCAATTCAAAACTGCAGGTCTTTTCCCAAGGTACTTAAAGGGCCAGAAACAGTCTTTTACAAGTCCATGAGCCCAAATAAATGATTACTGAAGGCAAAACAACAAATAGTATGAGTTCACATATATATATATGTAAGCAGCCATTATACTGGTTAACTGGGGGTTTTTGTTACATCTATCTACCTCATTTCTTCAGTCAGTGGAAACTTTTCTGCAAGATTGGCAGAAAAGATTGGCTTCTCTGTGCTTACCCTCCATTTGCCATGCTGCCCAAGGGGGCTCGCTGCCCAGGGGCAGAGCTGGTCCTCTTAACCCCATTTGGGGGGACTCATGGTTCCCTCAACTATTGGAGATGGCGGTGGATGTTCCCAGGTGGCCCATCCAGATCTGCTTCGATAACCGTCCGAACATTGCTATCCTCTCCTCCCGGAAGGTTCTCTGCCTCTGATGGCTTGGCAGATTTCGGGGGACCCTGGCAGGTCCTTGGAGTTTTGAACGCAGCTCGACACCTCCTGTCGGTCGGATGGGCTCCCAGAAATCAACGATTATATTGGTCAGCTTGGAGAGCTTGGGCTGGCTGGTGCCTTGCTAGGGACGTGGATCTCGATTCAGCCCCTGTAATGGCGATTCTCTAATTCCTCACAACTCTTTTTGAAGCTGGCCGGGCGTACTGGCCGGGGGCACTGGGCCGCATCAGTCGTCATCAACTCCTCATCTTTTTCTTTCCATTCGTCCTCCATTCTCCCCAGTGACGAGTACTACCCTGGATCATTGGTTGAAATGGGTGTTACAACAGGCAGTTGTATACACTTCGGTGTTCGGAGTGCTTCAGGGTCATTGATGATTACCTCATCTGATGAGGACGAAGGACTGGTCACGGGATTCTACTTTCTGTGAATTTTATTTTCTGAGGTTCTTAGTCAGCTTTGAACTTGCAATCTGACAGAGGCGAGTATTGTCCCACCCTATACATGTTTATGAGTTTGTTTACATTGTCCCTCCCTGTTATATTAAATATTTGGTTAGTTTGGTATTGCAGTAAGTGGAGACAGCAACTACATTATGATTTTGTTACTGTATTAGTTGCTCATAAGGTTGTACAATGTTTTTTCAGTATTGGCTCTTGATTATGGGGGTCTCTTTATGCCTTACCTTTATACTATTTGTAAGGACCGAAGTAAACATGTGGCTCCTGTTCCTTTATGTTTTCACAGCTTAATCCTGATTTGTTCCATGGATTGCTTATGTTTATCCTTTGACGGCATCCTTTTGTTTGGCGAATGCCTGTTGCTTTTTTGGAATTGTTCTGGTCTACTGAACTGCTGTTTGGTTTGACTCTTGCTGGATTTAACTGCAATGTTATTGTACGGTTGGACTGATTCTTCAGTTCCTGTTTCATATTGTTCTATTGGTGTTCACACCAAGAGGAGTAAATAAGGGAGGGGCTGACTAATATACTGGGATAATATACTGGGAAAATGTTTTTTCTTACTGTTTTTGTATTCTTTGCTGGACAGTAAAGAAAGGGATATGCAATACTCGCCTCTGTGTCTTTAGTAAAATCATGACTTTTCATCATATAATAGCAAAATCATGTAATTATACTGCTGAGTATAGACTTTTGCCTAGTAACTCTATTATTACCTGACAGCAAACTTATCCAATATATCTGTTGGATTATTCTCTATCTATCTATCTATCCAATCCTCTTAATATGGTATTCGCCACAACAGATATCAAGGTTATGTACCTCTACTTTCTCATCCAATTTTTATGTATAAGTACCATACTTTCTGCACCATTAAAAGTGGCCACTGTCATGGCCGAATCCCGTTTTTTTTTTAAACCCCCCTCCCAACTTCACTACATCTAATTGTCCCCCCTAGTTACACCCAAAGACCCCAACACCCCCCCATCTAACCTATTTTTGCATCTTTATTTTGTGTCCAGACCTAGGTCCTGGGTGCCATCATCTTTGTGTGGGTAGATGACGTCCCTGTGGGACACGTCATCTACCCACACTAGATAGCTCTGTGAAATTCTCGCGCATGCCCAGTTAAACACTTGGGCATTCGAACGGGAATTTCATCTATTCATTCATTCATTAGAAAGAAAATGAATAGAAATTTCAAACGAATGAATGAAGACCTCTTCGTTCATTCGTTTGGTTTATTACAAGGAGGGAGCTACTGACGCGCAGTTCCCTCCTTGTAATATGTAAAAATAGAAGCATCAGGGAGCAGTGTTCCCCGCCACTTCCTAAACCCCCTATGTCCTCCCTCACTCTGTGGGGGTCAATATGACCCCCATTATAGCATAAGGGAGATTAAAATCTACCGAATGCCACGAGTAGGGGCATGTATATTAAACAGTGAGCAGCCAGTAGCTGCTCACTGTTGTAAAAAAGAAAAAAGCCCCCCCCCCTAACAAATGCCCCCATGGTGGGGCATCTATTAACTAGTGGGGGGATGTAGTGTCCCTCCTGAGCTTCCACCTGTGTCCCGCAAATGGGGGCTATAAAAGTAAACAGGGAACATATGGTTCCCCTTGACCCCCCACCCATCACCCATGAACAGAGGGTGAGGGCCCTAAATGAAAATGGGGGGGACACCTATTGTCCTCCCCATGGCCCCAACCCATGAGCGGCGGGTGGGGGCCCTAAATGAAAATGGGGGGGTGGACTTATTGTCCTCCCCCTCAGCCCCCACCCTTGAGTGGTGGGTGGGGGCCCTAAATAACAATAAGGGGGAACCTATTGTCCTCCCCCCAGCCCCACCCCTGAGCGGCAGGTGGGTGCCCTAAATAACAATAAGGGGGCCCCCACCCGCTGCTCAAGGGTGAGGGCTGGGGAAAGGACACCTATTGTCCTCACCCCCAAGCCCCCACCCATGAGCGGCAGGTGTGGGTCCTAAATGAAAATGGGGGGATGATCCCCATGCCCCTAGTCACCCCTTACCCAAAGACCTACCTACCCCCCTAACCCTAAAAATAGGGGGGAACAATAAAACTAAATCCCTTTAAATAAAAAATAACTTACCATTTGATGTCATCATTTTTCTAAAATTTTCTTTTTCCTGCCCCCCAAAAAGGCCAAATAAAAATCCAAAATACCTGTCAAACTTTGAAAATAAAATAAAAACCCTGAGCGCAAAAAAAAAAAATCTGATGAAATAAAACATGTTAAAAATGTAATCCATCTTCATGGCGCAGACTGAGCTCCGCAGGGCGGGGAAAGGCTTTAAAGCCTTCCCACGCCCTGCAATTATGCTTAGAGCACTCTGATTGGTTGATTCCATGCCAACCAATCAGAGTGCTCTGACAGGTAAATGAAGAGACTGTCAGTAAGTCTCTACATTTACCTGTCACAGCACTCTGATTGGTCGGCCTGGAATCCAACCAATCAGAGTGCTCTGTGTCATTTTACACAGCATGGGAAAGTTCTTTGGAATTTTCCCATGGTGTGTAATTTGACTCATAACACTGTAATTGGTTGATTGAAAGCAACCAATCATAGTGTTGCTATGAGTCAAATTACACAGCATGGGAAAATTCCAAAGAACTTTCCCACGCTGTGTAAAATGAGACAGAACACTCTGAGGGGTTGGGGCCGGTGGGGCAATAGGTCCCTCATTCAGTTCAAGATGACAGGCTGCTCACTGTTTACTAGACATGGCCCTACTAGCGATGTAGCGAGTAGGCGCAGATTATTTACTAATACTAAGTAATCTTTACTTAGTATTAGTAAGTTTGGCTGAAAGACCAATTTAGGTCTTTCAGCCTTTTGGTAGATAGCTCCCTAATACTGTGGAAATTAGGGAGTAATCTACTAAGCGGTTGCAAGATGTAGCCACGGCACAAATCCACGGCATTATTCAAATGAAATTCCGATCTGAACAAAGTCCCGAATTGCATCCTAACATAAATGAACAAACTGTTCCCATTCTGTTATGGCAAAATTCGGTAGTTTTGCCGGTGTTCTGTCTAAGTGACAGAACGTTCAGGAATACTTACAGAAAGCATTGCGAAGTCATGGAGGAAAGGTAAGAATTGTGAGAAAATTTCTCTGATAACAGGAAACAGAGCACACTTTGTTCCTCGGCTGGTCAGAGATGGTCAGGTGTAGGAAACATCCATAAGACAAAGTACTTACGTTGTCTTATGTTTTAAAGAAAACTAGAGCAGACAGGAAGAAATGAAGAACAGATCCTGACAGAGGGAGAGAAGAGGAATTGATTAAAGAAAGGTAAGTTCGGCATGACTGTGCCGCTTTAAGAATAAAAATAGTGGGGTCATGGGGGTTTGAGCACAGGGCTTGATTTTGTATATTTGTATTTGCTTTTGTAGTACACAGCCCTGTTCAGTGGCGGATCCAGAGCCTGATCTCGGGAGGGGCACTTGTAGATTATTTAAAGAAATAATCCAGACACAATAACTACTACAGCTCAGTGTAGTGGTTATGGTGTCAATAGTGCCGGGACCCCCTCCTAGAGTAAGTAGTCAAACCGTTTAAGAACAGTTTGACAACTTACCTGAGGTCTGCTGGGAAATGGGGCGGTAGTAGGGCATAGGAGCAGTGGTGTGTGTGAGTGGTGCAATGTGTAAGGGGTGCAGTGTGTGTGTGTGTGAGGGGGACAGTGTGTGAGCAGTGTGTGTGTGTGTGTGTGAAGGTTGTAGTGTGTGAGTAGGGGGGCAGTGTATGTCAGGGATGCAGTGTATGTGTGGGACAGTATGTGTGTAACAGTTGCAGTGTGTGTGTGAATGTGGGCAATGTGTGTGTATGGGGCGGCAGTGTATGGGGGCAGTGTGTGTGTATGGGGAGCAGTGTGTGTGTATGGGAGTAGTGTATGTGTGTAGAGTGTGTGTGTATGGGGCAGTGTGTGTGTATGGGGGCAGTATGTGTGTATGGGGGGCAGCATGTGTGTATGGGGGAGCAGTATGTGTATGGGGGCAGTATGTGTATGGGAACTGAGTATGTGTGTATATAGGGGGAGCAGTATGTATAGGGGGCAGAAAGTGTGTGTATGGGGGGCAGTATGTGTATGGGGGCAGTATGTGTGTGTGTATGGGGAGCATGGGGTACTATGTGTGTATGGGGGGGCAGTATGTGTATGGGGGTAGTATGTGTGTATGGGGGGGCAGTATGTGTATGGGGGCAGTATGTGTGGTAGTATGTGTGTATGGGGGGGCAGTATGTGTATGGGGGCAGTATGTGTGTATGGGGGGGCAGCATGGGGGGTAGTATGTGTGTATGGGGGTACAGTATGGGGGCTATGTGTGTGTGTGTGTGTTAAGGGTAGGGGGGGGCTTTTTTAATAATATATATAGCTTTATTTAATAAAAAAAAAAAATATTCTATGTCCCCCCTCCCTTCTTACCTTTATTGAGGAGGAGGGGGGACATATTTTCCTCCCTGGTGGTCCCAGTGGTGATTCCCTGGTGGTCCCAGTGGTTACAGTGAACTCTAGCCCGCGCTCCCGGGCTAGAGTTCACTCTCGCGAGATTTGGAGCGTTGGCAACGCTCCAAATCTCGCGAGAGGAGGACCCGGAGGAGCTGCAGACTGAGCTCCGGGTCCTCTCTCTCACTCCCTCCCTCCGCCGCCGGCTGTCAGCACGGTGCCTGCGGACCGGGGAGGGA